TACTCCTCAGGCGCGAATGGGGGCAAGTGGGTGGGTAGTGGTGCGACAGCCAGGGTGATGACCCCAATTGTCATGGAAGCGGAGGACGGTTTCCGTCTTGGGCAGGAAGTCAGAGAGTGCCCGCGGTGGCAGAATGGAGCCCGTGGGGACATTCCAGGCGGGGAAACTTTTCCCAGTGGTGTAACACTGGGTGGCCCCTAACATCCCCAACCTTCTCAGAGCTGCAGACGTTGCTCGCTTTTGTGAGACCGCGCAGACCCCTCACTGAGCGCAGCTGCAGCACTGTCTCGTAGCAACGAATTCCCTCAACGAATCCCCTGGATGAATTCCCAAAGGAGGGGTGGGAGCGGGGACGGGCAAGAGCTTCCTGTGAGCTACACTGATTTCATTAATTTCATCCTCAGTACTTGTATCATCCACTAGAACAAGTAAATCAAGTTATAAGGACGGCTGTCTCGATTCAAGCTGTAAGGAAAAAAAGAAGCAAGTGTTCCACGTTACAAATAGAAACAAAGGGGCAAGAATGACGCTTTAGAAGAGGTTGATGATTTTAACACCTCCAGGTCTATACTCATTTACTCAGTACAGCAAACCCTACTCGGTAAAGTAAGACAAAAGAATGTCCTGTTAAAGAAGCACACAAAACATTTGCATTTGAATGAGTACAATCCCCAAACCTCAATGCTGAAAAGCAGCAGCTGGGGTGCAGTGGAAGGAACTTCTGGACCAGGAGCTGAGAGAACTGGGCTCCAGGCCGGCTCTGCCATTCAGCAGCTGCCTGACTGTGCCCAGCTCAGCCGGCCTGAGCTTGGGTTTCCTCTTCGGTAAATGAAATGCTGGACTAAAGGATCTCTACAATCCCGTCGAGTGGCAATCTCTCTTACTGTTGTCTGCAGTAGACACAAATAACTGGCAACTCCTGACCACCTCTGCCCTCCCCACCCAGCTCACAGCCAGGTGAGTCTGGTGGTCCAGGGATTGGCAACGTACGATGGTTTATTTATCTATATTTCCCCCAGTACTTCTCTTAAATAATTGATAATGGCTGGAAAATGCTTTCAAACTTAGAAGTCAGTCACTGGGCAGAGATGAGAGGTTGACCCTTAGACTGATTTTATTTAAAGACCACCCAAATCTGCAAACCTTCTATACTTTCCTTGCTGTGTGTGGCAAACTTGTTTTGCAGAAGCTGAAGTGTCAAACAACATTTTGTCCGTGGTCCTGCCCTGTCTAAGGTAAGGGTGACCTGCCTATAATTTCTCTCCATTACAGACACTCCAGGCTCCTTTAGGAATGGCTATCAGCACTCTTCCTTGACAGATAATGTGCATTTCTATAATTATTTCCTTAAGCCATTAGTTAAAGCTATTATTGATATTTTACTTTTCAAGTGCAGAAGTGCTGTGCCTATTAATAGCTATGATTTGATGAGAACCTACCACATGCAAGTTTCCAGGATGGAAACATTATATACAATATTATTTAACTGTCAAAATACCCCTTTGAGTGGAGATATTCCTATCTCCAGTTAACAGATCAGGAAAAGCTAAAATCACGTAAGTATCTCGCCCAGTGTCAAACTGATCTTGGGGCAGAAATCTGACCCCAGGCCACTCCAGCTGCGGTTTCCCACTCATCCCCTCCCCCTTCTGGATGCCAGGCTCACAGCTTTCATTCCCATGGTTTTTATTCCCCAATTCTTATAAATTCTTTATATTAAGAAATATCTGCTAGCATCATTTGCGTTCATCCCAATATATTCCCTATAATTTTAGCATAATCAACTTAGAGCCTTATTTATAGTGAAGAGGTCATGCTTCATAGAAGAGGGCTTGAGTGGACCTCAGGCAAATCCTCAAGAGACCTAAGGATTCAGCACTGCTGCCTCCCAGTGGCTGTGAACCTTGAGTGACTACCGAGCTTTAGAGAGACCTGCGATTATGGTGATTTTGGGTAGAATGAAGATGTAGAGGAAGGAAAAGATAGGAAAGGTTCTAAGGAAATATATACTACGAGGCTTGATGACTGGGTATGGAAAGTGGTGGAAAGTGAGAGAGGTTGGAAAGTACATGATGTTTATCACAATATTGAAATGAAATTACAAAGGGTTTGGTGGGGGACAGAGGGACTTGGAGGCCAGTGAGAAGACCAGTGGGTTGAATGTGGAGTTTCACTAACGCTTAGGAGGTGATCACAGCAAGAAAACAATCAGTCAATAGTCCGAGAAGGAACAGGAAGAGAGTAGAATAGAAATGGGGAAAGATGATGTTGAGGAGAATTTTAAGGACTAGGCAGCCAAGGGTGTAAAATGTCAGAGTTTATGATTGTATTAAGCTAATTGTTAGTTTAAGAGAATTGCTTTAAAATTACTGCAGCAGATTACTTGACTTGTAGAAATACACAGCGAAATAACTTGTGTAATTTCTCCATTATGTGTCATTCTTTAGTCCCTAAGAGCCCTGAAAACAGATATTACACTGGTAGAGGAAAATGACCCCAGAAATGGGTCACGGTAGAGCCTGCAAAAGATTTGTTTTGCCTACTTTATAGATTTTTATCAACATTATGAAAGTAAATCTTATTAATTTTATGAGTCAATAATATCTACCCCAAGGATTGATATTTATGAAATAAGTAAAACTAGAATGCTGACTTAAACCCCAGGGAACTTTGTTATAATGAGAAATCCTCAAGACCTGAATTTAATCAAGAACTTGATGAGGATTTTACATTGTGCTCTTAGTCATACTCCTCAGGATTTAGCTCATCGTATACTCTTCCTTCATTTAATAATTTTTTTCTAACTTTGCTGATTTAGAAGCATTCCAGAAACTGATCACGACGCAATAAGCATTACCAACAATGACCCTATTGTAGTGGAAATGACCTCATTATCACTCTTGTTGCCAAAAGCAATCCAGGGCAGATGTGGTCTTGGTTTGAGATGAAGAAAACAGTCTTAGGATGAAACAGAGACACTGGGAAGATGTCTCCCCCCAAATCCCGATCTGTTCCTCTTACAAAAATGATCATGAAACTTTGGTTCCAATACCAATGAATGCACCACTGATTTAAGAGACAGTGCACGTCAAGCTGACGATTAGAGTTCTATAAATGAGGTATGGACAGCATGACGTGAGCTTGGCTGTGTGTTTAAGAGCAATAGCTGGAATCACAGCAGTGACTGCCCTGCACCTGTGGCTTCTGCTCCCAGTTACAGCACTGCCGTAAATTCAGACATCTCCCCAGCAGGCCTCTGTCACTACCGAGACAGAACTTCAAGTAAATATGGCCTTTCCTTCTAACTTTCAGTTCCTTTTTGGTCATTTACTTCATCATTTCTCACGCTATTATTCTTTTATTTATTCAACAAATTATTTTTTGTTCACCTTTCTATGTGCCTTTCCATGTACTATTCTAGTGGCAAACAAGACAGACAGCATCCCTGGCTCTATGGGGAGACAGAGCCGATGGGCCCTGCTGCTCAGGCCCTCCCCACTTCTGGTGGCTGAGCAGAGAGCTTGGGAAGGAGACCTGAGCCAGTTTAACAGAAGGATGGGCTAATTACTAGTTTCCATGACCTGGAGCATCCTCCTTTCGATCAAAGCCACTTTCCCAGCCAGGGAACTTACGTGATCTCAGGGGTGTTCTCTGACCCTGTCCCTCATCCACAAAGTACTCAACACAAATGTATGGAACATTGTGGGGGACTGTCCTTCTTCATTGGTACCTTGGCCATGGGACATATCTACACCCGGCCTAAGATCTGACAAGTAACAAGGGTCAAGGAGATTCCATCTGCTTCTACTACTTCTCTGAAGGTTTTTCTCAATAAACTCTATATCTGAACTGGATGGTGTTGCAACAAATAAATAGACAGAGATACAATTTCCGATAGTGATAAGTGCTGTGAAGGAAGCAGAACAGTGCAATTGGATCGAGGCTGGGTCAGGACCAACCTAGGCAGGACAGTCAGGAAGGGCTTCTTGGAAGAGAAGAGTCAAAGCAGGAGCGATAAAGGGCAGGCAGCCCAGCAGAGAAAGAACATTCAAGCACAGGGAACAGCAAGAACAGTGGCTTGGATGAAAGGATGAGATTGAAATGTCTGTGGGACAGAAAGAAATCGAGCACCACAGTGAATGAGGGAAAGAGGATTAGGGGTGACTTCAGAGAAGCAATCAGGGGACTGGTAAGGAAATGAGGTTTTGTTCTAACCGGAATAAGTTACGGGAAAAAAGAAAAAAAAAGAAGAAGCTATGGGAGAAGTTAAAGTGAAGGATTAATAAAAATTGATAAGCATATTTAATAGTTTAACTCTTGGATCTGGAGGAGAATGGCATGCAGGTGACGTGGAGGGAAGCAGGGAACCAGTTAGGAGGCTACCACCGTGGTCCAGGGGAGTGGGGAAAGGTAGAGGGGCAAAGGCTACTTAGTCTAATTACGGGACCTGCAGTGAGTGTTGGTGGGATGGGAGAGGTGGGAACAAGGCGAATCACAGATAATTCCAGAGTAGAGAGGGGCTGTAGCCCTTTTAAAAGCTGGTGCACACGATCACTCAAAATTCTGTAAAATTAACCACCAAGAAGAAAGTAGGAGGCCACAGGAAATAAAGATGAACAAAGACTGGAGGGTGCGGGGTGACAGGAAGCTGGAGACAGGCAGTGGTTCTGAAACATTCCCGGGAAGTGCTAACTCCTGCAGTTCCTTACAGGCAGCTGTCATCTGAGGGCTTCTTTTAGGGGGTCCCGCAAGCTAGCACTCACTGCAAAAATGTGGCAGATTATTCTTCAAACCTGCATTTTAAAAGGGGGATGAGAAGATAGACTAAGCTTGTGAGAAGCTTTTTTCTTTTCTCACGGCCCTCTATAAAAAAAAAGTTCAGGACCAGGGTCTCAAGCTGACTGCGAGGTTGGCCACCAGACTTTACCTCAGAAATTGAGAATTAGTCACAAGATTCCACGTAAGCCACAAAAGAGAAGTGGGAAGCAGACAGCACTCACCGAACTGCGATGTGCCAGGCCCCGTACACATTATCCGTTAATCCTCAAAAAGAACCCGTGAGAAAGGCGTGCTTTCCATCAGGATCTGCAAGAACAAACTGAAGCTCAGGGAGGTTTATGAACAGCTCAAGGTGTCCCCGATGGTGGCAGGGATGAGCAGCAGGGATGAGCCCCGGGCTTCGCCTCCTGGGCCAGGTGTGGGGCTGCTACAGGTGAGGGCACCTCCCCTCACACCATCACCGTGCCCGCCCTGAACTCTGGCCTCTGCTTTCACTATCACGAGGTTCACCCCTGGGACTGGGGTCTGCCCTCAGGGGAAGAGTCATAAAAATGGGAAATTTACCAAGTGACCTCTCTCCTTCCACGTCCACCCCCCTGCAGAATCTGCCTGCTTTTCCTCTCTCTCCTACGTCTTCATGTAGTGTTTAAAATACATTATGTCGAGATTACAGTTATCTTCAGGAGAGTTCCTCGACACTCTATTACTGAGAAATCATGTTTTAAACAAAAAAATTCTGAATCAAATAAATGGTTTCTAGAAATGTATTCATTTTCTTTTCACCCTTTACTCTGATAGAATGAATGCTTTTTGGTGCTCACTAATCATCTCATTTTAGTCTCCTTTTGTAGACGATCTAGTTGGTTCCTACGCTAAACCCGGTGCCCATAGAGTAATAACCACACAATTCCACTGGCGTTTTCCACATTGCATTTTGGTATCTTATTTATGTTTCTGTACTGCCCTCTAGTGGCTGACTGTCTGAAATACAAATCAAAGTACAGCAGGCCCTTTGTATCCATGGGGTCTGCGTCCAGGGATTCGACCAACCACGATCCAAAATGTTCAAAAAAACAAATTCCAGAAAGTTCCAAAGAGCAAAACTTGAGTTTTCTGCAAGCTGGCAACTATTTACAAAGCATTTATATTATATTTATAAACAACTATTTACATAACGATAGCATTTACATGGTGTTAGGTACTATAGGTAATCCAGAGATGATTTAAAGTATAGGGGAGTTTGTGTGTAGGTTATATGCAAATACTCTGCCATTTTATATAAGGGGCCTGAGCATCCCTAGATTTTGGAGTTTGGTATCCACAGGGGTCCTGGACCCAATCCCCTCAGATACCGAGGGATGACTGTATTATTTTCGAGATGCAGGCACTTTTTCTAGAGGTAAGACAAATCTCAGACAGTTTAATTGGTTAGTAACAACTTCTAGTAGACATAAATCTTCCTAACAACAATCTTATTGATTGTGAACTATTTCAATTTTGACTTTGACAACAATAGAAAAATTTTTAATGCTTAGAAGAACTTTAAAAGTTCTGGAGATATTTAAAGAATCTGTTGGCATAGTTGGAACGTAGACAATAATTAAGTATATTGGAAAAGACTCCTGAAAACCCCTGGAGAAGAAAGTGCTGGGCCTAGAACCTGATTTGAGAGGAGGCCGGGGGAGGATATGCTTTCTTGGAGTAACATCGCCATCTTGCGTCTTTCTTAGATACTGCTGATAAAAATAAGCAAACCCTTACTTCTTTTAGCACTCCTAAATGTTCTCTAATTAAAGAAATTTGACCATTTGTTTCAAGGTTCAAACAGAAGTTTATTTATTTATTTATTTAAAGAAGAGTTTTTTAAAAGACTGTATTGAGGTACGATTTACACTCAATAAAATGCACCCTTTAAAGTGCATCAGTTTTCAATGAGTTTCAAAAATGTAAACTCCCAGGCAGCCACCAGAACAATCAAGTTGCATAACATTTCCATCATCTCCCAGAGGTACCCTAGTGCCTATTTACAGATAACCCCATGCCCAGCTGTTGCCCCGGGCAGCCACTCATCTGCTCTCTATCATTAGAGATCAGTTTTGATGTTTAGAATTTCATATAAACGAAATCACACAGTATGTACTCTTTTGTGCCTGTATTTAAGTATGTGCTTTTTTTCTTCATCATAACATTGTTAAAATCTGTTCATGCTTTTGCATCTATCAGTGGCTCATTCATTTTTGCTCCTGAGTACTATTCTTTTGTGTGACTACTCCTCTATTTACCATTCTCCTGTTGATGGCCACAGCTTGTTTCCAGTTTTTAATTATTTTGAGTAAGACTGCTCCGAAAGTATGTGTATAATAAGTGTGTACAAATGTTCTCATTTCTCTTGGTAAATACTTAGAAGTAGATGGCTGGGTTTCAGGGTAAATAGACGTTTAACTTTATATAAAACAGACAAAGTATTTTCTAGAATGGCCTTACCATTTTATTTTCCCAGAGCAATCAATGAGAGTTCCAGCTGAGTCATATCTTTCATATTTGGTGTTGTCATTCATGTTATCCATTGTGATGGATATATAGTAGTAGCTCATGACGATTTTAATTTGCATTTTCCTGTTCACTAATACTGTTAAGCATCTTTTCATATGCTTATTGGTCATTCATATATATTGTTAAATGTTTAATTAATTTGCTTCCCTCTTTTTATAAAGTTGGGTTGTCTTCAATTATTGAGTTATAAAGTTCTTTGTATACGCTCTGTATGTCTTTTGCCAAATACATGCATTGTTAGTATATTTTCTGAGTCTGTGACTTGCCTTTTTGTATTCTTAAGTGTCCTTTGAAGAGCAAACATTTAAAATTTTGATGAAGTCTAATTCATCAATAATTTTTTATAGGTATAGCTTTTTGTTACCTATCTAAAATTTCTGCCTATACTGAGATCACAAAAATCTTCCCCTATGTTTTTTTCTAGAAACCTTATAGTTTTAATAGTTATATTTTGGCCTATGATCCTTTTCATGTTAATTTTTGTATATGATAAGAGGGAAGTACAGAGGTTTCTTTTTTCCTAGATAGATATCTAAATGCACCAGCATCTTTTCTTAAAAAGACGATCCGTTCCCCTTGGCCCCTTTCTTGAACATCAATTGACCATATTTGTGTGGGCATATTTCTGGACCCCTTATTTTATTCCTTTTATCTGTTTATCAAAACTTAGACTTGTCCTGATTACTCTCATTCTATAAGTCTTGAGATCCTCCAAATGTGTCCTTGTTTTAAAATTATTTTGGCTACAGTATGTCCTCTGCATTTCCTTATATTGGGTTGGCCGAAAAGTTTGTTTGGTTTTTTTGCCCTTAGTTGTCTTTAACTTCATTTGAAACAATTTTGTTAGATTGTATTGTGATAGCTGTCATATAAACGTGCATTTAAAAAAAAAATCAAAATTGGTGAATTTTTGTGTAGCCATTTTAATATCGAATATGGAAAAAAAGCAGCATTTTCCGCATATTATGCTTTATTTATTTCAAGAAAGATAAGAACACAACTGAAACGCAAAAGAAAAAAGATTTGTGCCACGTACGGAGAATGTGCTGTGACTGACTGAACGTGTCAAAAGTGGTTTGCGAAGTTTTGTGCTGGAGATTTCTCACTGGACAGTGCTCCACGGTCGGGTAGACCAGTTGAAGTTGATAGTGATCAAATAGAGTAATTGAGAGCAATCAACGTTCTACCACACGGGAGATAGTCGACATATTCAAAGTATCCAAACCAAGCGTTGGAAATCATTCGCACTAGCTTGGTCATGTTTATCACTTTGATGTTTGGGTTCCACGTAAGTTAAGCGAAAAAAAACCTGCTTGACCGTATTTCCGCATGTTATTCTCTACTTCAACGTAATGAAAACGTTCCATTTTTAAAACAAATTGTGACAGGCGATGAAAAGTGGATACTGTACAATAACGTGGAACGGAAGAGATCGTGGGGAAAGTTGAACTACCACCAACCACACCAAAGGCCAGTCTTCATCCAAAGAAGATGATGTTGTGTACGTGGTGGGATTGGAAGGGAGTCCTCTATTATGAGCTCCTTCCAGAAAACCAAACGATGAATTCCAACAGCTACTGCTCCCAATTAGACCAAGTGAAAGCAGCACTCGACCAAAAGCATCCAGGATTAGTCAACAGAAAACGTAATCTTCCATCAGGATAACACAAGACTGCATGTTTCTTTGATGACCAGGCAAAAACTGTTCCAGCTTGGCTGGGAAGCTCTGATTCATCCACCGTATTCACCAGACATTGCACCTTTGGATTTCCTTTTATTTTGTATTTACAAAATTCTCTTAATGGAAAAAATTTCAATTCCCTGGAAAAGGCACCTGGAACGGTTCTTTGCTCAAAAAGATGAAAAGTTTGGGGAAGATGGAATTATGAAGTTGCCTGAAAAATGGCAGAAGGTAGTGGAACAAAATGGTGACTACGTGGTTCAATAAAGTTCTTGGTGAAAATGAAAAATGTGTCTTTTATTTTACTTAAAAACCAAAAGAACTTTTTGGCCAGCCCAATACATTTTAGGATCTGCGTGGCAAGTTCTACAAAATAGCAGGCTGGGATTTTGATTGGGATTGGCATTGCATCTATTAATTTGGGGAGAAGTAAAAACTTAACAATATTGAGTCTTTCAATCCATGAACACGATATTTTTCTTTACATCTTTAATTTCTCTCACCAATTTTTTATAGTATTCAGTGAATAGGTTTTGCAAATATTTTGTTAAATTTATCCTTAAATATTTCATGATTTCGATGACAGTATATGAATATAATGGTATTTAAAATTTTCATTTTCTAATTTTTCAGTATGTAGGAATACAAGTGGTGTTGTATACTGACCTTGCATCCTGTGGCCTTCTTAATTCACTCATTAGCTCTAACGTAAGTTCTGGAGATTCCTTAGGAATTTCTACACACAATCATGTCATCTGCAAATAAAACAAATGAACATTTTTGTTTCCAAGACAAAAAATGCCTTTTATTGCTGTCTTGCTTTTTTTGTACTGGCTAGCCTGGCAAGGACTTTTTGTGCAAGGCTGAATAAAAGTGATGGGGATGGAGCCTGATCTTAGGGAATATGGATTCAATCTTTTCTGTTGACTGTGATGTTAGCTGTACCTATTTTGTAGAAAAATGTCTTTTATCAGTTGCCTTTTATTCCTATTTTGGTGCAAGTTTTTGTAATAATTGCAGACTAAATTTTGTCAAATGCACCTTTTCTTCTCCTCCTGAAGCAGGAAAACTTATTTTCCCCTTCTTTATTCCGTTAAGGTTGAGTTACATTAATTTTTCATATGTTAAGTCAACCTGGCACTCCCAAGAAAAATTCCACTTGGTCATAATATATTATGCTTATTACACATAGTTAGATTCAGTTTGTTAATAGTTTATTAATGATTTTTGCATCTAGGTTCCTGAGAGATATTGGTGTGCAGGTTTTTTTTCTTTGATGTATTTGTCTGGTTTTGGTATAAGAGTGATGTTAGCTTCAAAAATTGAGTTGGAAAGGGTTCCTTCTTCTTTATTTTCTGAAAGAGTTTGTGAATATTATTATTTTTTTCTTCTTAAAATGTTTGGTAGGGCTTCCCTGGTGGCGCAGTGGTTAAGAATCCGCCTACCGATGCAGGGGGGTTCAGGGAGATCCCACATGCCGTGGAGCAACTAAGTCTGTGTGCCAGAACTACTGGGCCTGCGCTCTAGAGCCCATGAGCCCCAACTACTGAAGCCTGCGCGCCTAGAGATCGTGCTCAGCAACAAGAGAAGCCACCGCAATGAGAAGCCCGTGCACTGCAATGAAGAGTAGCCCCCAATCACCACAACTAGAGAAAGCCCGCACGCAGCAACAAAGACCCAATGCAGCCAAAAATAAATGAATAAAATAAATAAATTTAAAAAAATGTTTGGTAAAATCCACCAGTGAAGACATTTGGGCTGGGAGTTTTCCTTGTAGAAAGATTTTTAATTATGAATTCAGTTTACTATATACATGGCTATTCAGATTTTCTATCAATTTTTATATTACAAAGAATTTGTCCATTGCTTCTACAGCATAAATTTATTTGTACTATTCTCTTTTTATCCTTTTAATGTCTGTAGGATTGATAGTGATGTCTTCTCTTTCATTCTTGGTATTAGAAATTTGTATTTTTTTCTTTTTTTAATCACCTTAGGTATAGATTTACCAATTTTATTGATTTTCCAAAGAATCCTTTGGTTTCATTGATTTATCTCTATTTTCTACTTAAAAAGGTGGTAAATGTTTTCTGTTCGTGGCCAAATAAATATTTTAGGTTTTTCAGCCATATGATCTCTAAGGCAGCACTAGACAACAAGTAAATGAATGAGTGGAACTATGTTCAAATAAAACTTTATTTACAAAAACAAGTGGTGAGCCAGATTTTGCCTGCGAGCTGTGGTTTGCCGACCCTTGGTTTATTAATTTCAACTCATCTTTATTTTTTCTTCCTTGTACTTTGGAGTTGATATTCTCTCATTTTCTAGCTTTGTAAGGTAGAAACCTTAATCCTTCAGTTCTGAAGGACATTTCCAATGCGTTTAGAATTCTAGGTTCACTCCCCCAACCAGCACCAGTAGTTTAAAGATGTGATCGGTTTTAGATGAAATGCTTGCTCTTGGTCTTTGTTTCTGTGTATTGCTTCCTTTGGCTACTTTTAAGATGATCTTTTTAATCACGATCTTCAAAAATTTGATTATGATAATGATACACTTTGCTGTGTTTTTCTGTTTCCTCAGCTTGGTTATTTGTTTGTTTCTTTGTTTAGCTTATTGGATGTGTGTGTTGGTTTATAACTAATCAAATTTGGAAAATTTTGTGTTCAGTGATGTCACATTGGTACCTTGAAATCAACAATAGTGTGAGTATTTACATCATAAAAATTGGCCTATGCTATAAATCAAGTCTTTTTTCCCCCATGGAGCTAGTTGTTAAAATTTACTGCCTACAGGTCACTAAAATTTGGTTCTTTTGAATATTTTTTCTTTATGTTTTTCTATTATGGTAGTTCCTGTTGCTATGTGCTCACATTTACTGATATTCTTAAGTTTTCATTGGATGCTATCCTTATACTGTAAATTTATTATTTAAGATACTGTATTTTTCAGCTGTAAAGTTCTGTTTGGATCTTGTTATAATACTTTCCACTGATCTTTTCATGATGTTTTTCTTTGAATCCTTGACTATATATATATATATATATATATATATATATATATATATATGCTGCGCTGTGCCTTTGTTGCTGTGTGCGGGCTTTCTCTAGTTGCAGCGAGTGAGGGCTACTCTTCATTGCAGTGTGCTACCTTCTCATTGCAGTGGCTTCTCTTGTTGCAGAGCATAGGCTCTAGGTGCACGGGTTTCAGTAGTTGCTGCACGTGGGCTCAGTAGTCATGGCTCGAAGGCTTCAGTAGTTGTGGCACGAGGGCTCAGTAGTTGTGACTCGCGGGCTCCAGAGCACAGGCTCAGTAGTTGTGGCTCACTGGCTTAGTTGCTCGCGGCATGTGGGATCTTTCCAGAACAGGGATCAAACCCAAGTCCCCTGCACCAGCAGGTGGAATTCGTAACCACTGCACCACCAGGGAAGTCCCTTGACCATATTTTTAATAATTGTTTCAAAGTAACTCATTGTTAACTCCCTGTTATTGCTGACAGGAACACTGTCAACTCCTGTTTGGCTTCGACTGCTTCTTCCTTCCCTCTCTTCCTCTCTGTGTTTACTCTATGGCTAATTTAGTACTATTACTAAGATATCACCCTTCTGAGGTTTCTATTAAATGTTCCATATAGTTGACAAAGATTCCCCATTTGGCTGGTCAGAACTTGCATGTTTCCTAGATCTTGTGTCCTCTGGGAATGATTCATCTGAGGGCACCTGGTCATTGTTAGCCCAGCCTGGTGGAGTTTTACCTTATGTTAGCATAGCTTAGTTTTTATCAACAGACTCACAGAGAACCCTGAAGATTTCTACAGCTCTTTCTCCATCTAGCTCCCTCCTCTATGCTGCTCTGCCCCAGAAATTCCAGCATCTCAGACTTCTTGATCCCTAATAATTATCTCCTGAACTCAAGACCACTGCAAGGGATCCTCCCCTCAACCCTGAAGCTTTGCTTTAGACAGTGCCCTTCAGGCAGAAGGCTGGAGTGATTTTAAGACTCAGTGTTTGAAAGTGGTTATTTCATATATTTTGTCCAGTTTCATTTTTTTTAAACAACGGGAGGACATGTCTTTTTCCAGTCTCTCCATCATGGCTGGAAGCTGAAGTTCTTATACATGCTTGACCAAACCAGTAATCTTTCTTCATCTGGTATATTCAACCCCTTTGACAGAGCTCTTAATAGCACTATCAGTCTTAAGTGGTATGCATTATGAATAATAGAAAGGGAGGAGATATTATAATCCACTGAGTCAACACCAGCTGTAATGGAGGGAGCTGGATGTTGTGGGTAAATAGATGGTCCTCTTGTGCAGTGAATAAATTATGTCCTTCCGTGGTACTTAATCCTTAGGTTGGGTTGAACTAACCTGAGGGCTAAGTGTTAAATTTCTCATTTCTTAAAACAGCTAGAAAGTAACAATCTGAGGATTCACTATGGGGTAGTAGAGAGAGATAAAATGCAAAAATAATTCTTTCCTGGGAGTTAGGAAGCTTGGCTCAAAGGCCAGGACTCTGCATTTATAATCCTCCACACTTCCTTCCATTTCTATCTGTAAAAATGGGCAATTGAACTCTTTGTCCTTTAACAATCCTTCTGGCTTGGCGATTTTTACTACTGTTCTGTTTTCTCACCATTATTCCTAGTATTATCCCATGTTAATTGGTGTAATATCATAGGCTAGAACAGTTACCTTCTTAAGGGTTAAATTATTCCTATTGCATCAATTAGTAGAGGTAACAATAATTATTAGCACAGCGAAAATTTCAAGAGCAAGAACCAAACAAGGAAAAGCATACAACTTCATGCCATAGACTTCAATAAGCAGTGAAAAAAGAAAAAAATATATTCTGGCATGGCTTGGCATAGCTTCCTAGCCTTAACCCTAAGCTCCAGAAAGAGAGGGAATGAAATGTTGAGAATTTCCACAATTATTTCTTACTTTGGAGGAAAGTAGTTGGAGGGTTGAATAGGAAGCTCAGGTAAAATTCAAAAAGAAATTGTAATAGGGAAGAACAAATCTGACTCCATATTAGATGTATTTCTTTTACTTTAACCTTTGTTAAACATGCATAACAGCCCATCTCCGGGAACGCCACCTCCTATGCCTGAACATTAAGCTAAAATCCCTTTTTTCAGCTCACAGGAAGCATCCTGACCAGTCCCACCTGTGAATGGTTGCAGGAAAGAAGAAATTGACTCACCCCCTTGGAGCCTGGCGGAAACCAGGAAATATTTGCAACAACTTATCTTTTTAATTTTACCTCCTCACCTCCCACCTCTCTGTTCCATAAAAGAAACTAGCACCCAAACCTGGGCAAGATGGGTCTTTTGGACACTAGTCCACCATCTTCTTAGTCTGCTGGCCTTCTGAATAAAGTCATTATTTCTTATCCCAACAACTCATCTCTCAATTTATTGGCCTGTCATGTGGTGAGCAGTGTGAGCTTGGGCTCGGTAACAAAATCTTCAGGAGTAAAAGCATCTACAGCAAGACGCTCTGGAGGGGCAGAAGAGCTATAAGACCTGTGTGGGTTGGAAGAACAGTCTGAGAGCAAGGGATCACCCACACAATAACTGGGTGCACTTTGGGCCAAGCGAATATTAAGATAGGGCACTGGGTCAGAGGAGAAAACAGAATCCATATCCTTAAGCAAAGGAAACATAGCTGGAGCCAGGCCTATGCCATTTCCCTGCATCCTCAGGCTACAGAGAAGGCAACAGGAGCAATCCTCATCTTCCGAGCTGCAGTTCTAAGGAAACAATCAGGACTCTGAGTATGAAGGACACTGAGGAAAACTCGGCCACACTATAGAGAACAAAGGGGAAGTCAAGCAGAGTAGCCTATGTTCTGCATACGCAAGATGAAAAGAAAGGACATAATTATACCATTCCCTGTATTTTTGTGGCTTTAAATTTTTTATAGTAAATGTTTTTAAAGGATTGTTTAAATTTAAATTATACAAGCATACTACTGAAAGGTAAATACAAGGAGATATGAAGATAGCATAAGAAGACATCTTAAGATGTCTCAAAGAAACAGAAGGAAACTCTCTACAACTTTTTGTGACAAAAGAACCTTAATAAGGACATGAACTCCAGAAAATAATTACTTGTCAGTAAAATTTTAAAAACAGAATAAAAAAGACAAAACTGTACTACTAAAGAAAAAAATTGAGAACAAAATAATATCAGGGAATGAATTAGAAACAGCAAGAAACAGAATAGAGAGTTAAAAACTGAAATAATAAAGTACAAAAAGGCTTGAGCTAATCACAGTGAACAGAGGAACAAGCAAGGTAAAACAATTAAGAAAATATAATATATAAAGAAAGAAGAAAAGCTAACAAAAGGTCATTTCCTTAAACAGATACCCCAGCAGACCAAGCAGAAAACTTACTACAAAATTTCCCTGAAGAATCAAATAGTCTATGTAAAAAATTATACAGAATATCAGTTTTTATTGAGAGTTGTTTGCCATTGAATTTCAGGAATAGAGAAATAATTCTTTAATCGCACAGAGGGGACAAAGTAAGATGGAAATATTTCAAGCCAGTGTCAAATTTCTCCTTAGTAACACTTAGTGCTAGGATATAATGGAGTAATTAATTTCAGCCAAATTTTTAAAAATAATAAAGTGACAATTTTATACCCACCCATTTCACTAAAATATAAAGACAGATATATTCAAACATGTGTGAACTCAGGAAATGTACTGTCTATAAGAACCTTTAAAAAAAATAAAACTACTTGACAAGGAAATTTAACTGATCAAGAAATAATTTTGAAAACATAGTTTAAAATCTGCAATCTTTCTCAATATAAATTTTCACAAAGCTCTATAAACATCTTCCTAAAAGGTTAATTCTACAGTGCAACAATAGAAAACATTTCATGATTTTTATATTCTTGCGATGTTACTGTGTCCAAAAATTATACTTGCTTGTATATTTCTTTTAGAAAACAGGAAGAAAAAAAGGCAATAGAAACTTGCCCCAATTTGCTAGAGCTGCCATAACAAAGCACCACAGACTGGATGGCTTAAACAGAAATTTATTTTCTCACAATTCTGGAGGCCGGAATTCTGAGATCAAGATGTCAGCAGGGAAGGGTTGTTGTGAGACCGCTCTCTTTAACTTCAGATGGCTGTCTTCTCACTGTATCTTCATACCACCTTCCCTCTGCACCTGGGTCCAAACTTCCTTTTCTTACAAGAACATCAGGCACACTGGAATAGGGCCCACAATAATGACCTCATTTTAACTTAATTACCTCTTTAAAGGCCCCATCCCCAAATACAATCACATTCTAAGTCCTGGGGCTTAAGACTTCTACATGTAAGTTTTGGGGAGACACAATTCAGCCCCTAACACCCTCCATGGCTCGATGTAAAGAAAGTGCAATTGAATGTCATCATGCTCCATTATTTAAGCCCCAGGGAATGCAATGAAAAGGTCAGAACCCCTTGCCTTCTTGAAATAAGTCAACTGGTTATAGCTAGGTTTGGGATCAAAGTCATCTCATCCACTTTGTCTTGGGAGAGGTGCTGGACTTCCTATCATCTTGGGGGAAGAAAAGACTGACCGGTAGTAGAGGGAAAGAGCACAGGACACTCAGTGTTGTTTAACAGTGGTTTTGATAAAGCATAAAGAAAACAGCAGAATGACTAGTTTCTTCCCATTTCCTAGTCTTATTTTTTATTTTCACTCACTTTACTGTTTAAGGTTTACAGAAAACATTGAATATAAAGTACAGAAAACGACTACACCCTCCCCCTCCCACTCCCTCTGCAGTTTCCCCTATTGTTCACAACTTGTACATCTGTTACTATTGATGAATACATTATTAACCAAAGTCCATCACTTACACTAGGTATCACTCTTTGTGTTGTACAGTGCTATGAGTCTTGACAAATGTATACCATCATGTAGCCACCATTGTGGTTCATTCACAATCGTTTCCAGGCACTCAAAATCCCATGCTACACCTAGACATTCCTTCTTCCCTGTCCCCATACCCCAGGTAACTACTAACTTTTTCCTGTCTTTACAGTCTTGCCTTTTCCAGAATGTCATAGCTGGAAGCATACAGTGTGCAGCCTTTTCAGATTGTCTTTTTTCACCGAGAAATACGCATTTAAGTTTCCTTCACGTCTTTTCACGGCTTGATAGCTCTTTTTTTTTTTAAAACACTGGATAACATTCTATTCTATGGATGTATCACAGATTGTTTATCCATTCATCTACTGAAAGGCACCTTGGTTGCCTCCACATCTCACAATGATAAATAAAGCTGTTATAAAAATCCCTGTGTACGTTTTCAACTCATTTGGGTTAAACACCAGGGAGCGTGACTGCTGGATAGTATAGTCAGATTATGTTTAGCTTTGTAAAAAATGCCCAAGTGTCTTCCAAAGTGACTGCACCATTTTGCACACCGACCAGCAATGCATGAGAGCTCCTGTGGCTCCACATCCTCATTAGCACTTGCTGTTGTCAGTATTTTGGATTTTAGCGATTCTAATAGGCACATCTCATTGTTTTAATTTGCAATTGCCTGACGACGTGATATTGAGCACTTTTTCGTATTTGCCATCTGTATATCTTTTTTGGTGAGGTATCTTGTGCAGATCTTTTGCCTCTTTTTGAATTTTTTTGGTTGCTGACTTTCAAGAGTTCTTTGTATATTCTGAATACAAGTCTTTTATCAGACATGCGTTTTGCACATATTTTCTCCCAGTGACTTGTCTTTTCATTCTCTCAACAGTGTCTTTATGTAGAGCAGAAGTTTTCGATCTTGATGAAGTCACACTTATCTTTTTCTTTCATGGATCATGCCTTTGGTGTTGTATCTAAATACATCACCAAACCTAAGGTCACCTCTGTTTCTCTTATGTTATCTTCTAGATATTTTAGAGTTCTGCATTTTACATTTAGGTCTATGATCCATCTTAATTTTTGTAAAAGGTCTAAGTTCTGTGACTGGATATCCAGTTATTCCAGTACCTTTTGCTGAAAAGGTTATCTATGCTCTTTTGAATTGCCTTTGCTCATTTGTCAAAGATCAGTTGTCTCATTTGTGTGGGTCTATTTCTGGATTTTCTACTGTTCAATTGATCTATTTATCTCTTCTTTCACCAATACCATATTGTCTTGATTACTACAGATATACAGTAAGTCTTGAAGCCTAGCAGTGACAGTTCTCCAACTTTATTCTTCAATATTGTGTTGGCTACTCTTTTGTCTTTCTATAAACTTTAGAACCAGTTTGTTGATACCCAAAATAATTTGCTGGGATTTTGATAGGAATTGTGTTGAATACCAAATTGGGAAATACTGACATCTTTAAAATATTGAGTCTTCCAATATGTGAACATGGAATATCTCTCCATTTATTTACATTTGTATTTCTTTCAACAATTTTGTAGTTTTCTTAGTATAGATCTTGCACATATTTTGTTAAATTTATACCTATGTCTGCCTGCCTCCTTCCTCTCTTTTTTTTTTTTTGGTGCTAATAAAAATGATGTATTTTTTATTTCAAATTTATACCTATGTCTGCCTGCCTCCTTCCTCTCTTTTTTTTTTTTTTGGTGCTAATAAAAATGATGTATTTTTTATTTCAAATTTATACCTATGTCTGCCTGCCTCCTTCCTCTCTTTTTTTTTTGGTGCTAATAAAAATGATGTATTTTTTATTTCAAATTTATACCTATGTCTGCCTGCCTCCTTCCTCTCTTTTTTTTTTGGTGCTAATAAAAATGATGTATTTTTTATTTCAAATT